TCTGTCTGTCTGTCTCCGCCTTTCTATCCGTCTGTCCAGTTGTCTCTCTGTCCCTCTCTGTTGGTCTGTCTGTCTGTCTAATGATCTCTCGTCTATCTAATCTATCTAACCCTCAAACCTATCTAATCTATCTCTCTATCCTTCAATTCCTATTCCCGGACAATCAGGCTTTGCTCACGAGCCACAAGAAGATAAAGACACTTCCATGTGACATCTAATCTCTCTCTCTGTCCAAGTTTTTAAAGACTTTTTCATGTGACATTTAATTTCGTATTGGCATGAGACTTGGTGACAAGAATCTTGTCATTGCCACAAGAACATAATTTCTGGCTACCACCGAATGAGAGAATGCTGCCTTCAAAGTTCAAACGACTCTTTTTTATTTGCTGATGTATACACAAGTTGACAACGTCTTAGAAAATGAAAGCGATCATGATAATAATGGACAGCCATGATTGAAATTAGAGAGGATCCTTATCCTTTTTTGCTTTCGCTCAAAATATTGGAACGAGGAGATACAGAGATTTTCAAATTTCAATGTCTCATCAATTGATTGAACTCCTCCATTGGTTGAGCCACCAGTGGCTTCGGGGCTCTTTTTCGCAACGTAAACTTTTGCTCTGCAGCAATAAAATAGGAAACTGTCTGGTACCGCCAACCATTTCCGGCAAGCAGGTCAAGCCATGAAGGATGCAGCACATTAATGGCCACTCCCGAACAAAATGGCTGGGAAAGGTACCGTCATGGGACTGAACCGGACTGACACAAGTAATTAGTTCTTTACTCATCACTGTTCTTTTTCGCTTTTTTTTTCTACTGATTTTTTTCCCATGGTGACGTTGCGTCTCTTTATTGTTTTTCTACCTTCAGAGAATCAATCCCGAAAGGAAGTTCCTTGCCCAAGCTCGTCCGGATGAATACTGTTCACCGCAGGAGATGAAGGCTTGCCTTGAAGGTCTTTTAGACAGGGCCACAGCTAATTTGAATATGCGCCCAGACCTTATGATATGTGTTTTACCATCCAGCAATTCGCCTATGTACGGTATGATTGCCACAATCCCTATGCTGCATGCCCAGACATTCATCTGATCGTTTCCTTCCGCCCTTTCAGGATCTTCCCCTCCAATTCCGTAATGTATTCTGCAATATGAGATCTCTCTGGAATTGTATTTTTCTTGTAGTGAAAATGCTGGAAAAAGTTACTAATAACAGGGCACTGGGGCATATTCATTTCCCAGACCCAGCCTCGCAGAGCATACCGATTTGTCTCTTGAATCAATGCACCCAGCTACTTCTCCAAATTCTTCTCATACCCGATCACTAACCACAACCTGCCTACAAGAGTTGGAAATTGTGAACAAAGAACTCCAATGTGAGATGCTAGAATCCTTCCGATTGAGGAAACTGAGGGTCCCAAAAGCCAAACCCTGGATAATCTTCCAACCTGATCTCAGCATTTCATACATTGAATTCAACCCGAAAGAGTGGATCTGGAAACAGGGAAAATCCAGGAGAATGAGAACGAGAACGAGAATGAGAACGAGAACGAGAACAAGAACGAGAACGAGAACGAGAACGAGAACGAGAACGAGAACGAGAACGAGAACGAGAACGAGAACGAGAATGAGAACAAGAACGAGAACGAGAACGAGAACGATATTCGAATACGATGTAAAATTCGGATACGACTTAGGATTACAGACCACAGACCCGGTCCACAGATTCGAAGAAAAATGGAGGGAGATCCTGAACCTAGAACCTACGGATACAATTTCAATCCCTTGGACAAAGTACCTGTCCATCAGACCGGTTAGGATCTGAAGCATGCAGTGGCTCGTAGCCCTCGCATCTCTGCCCGTTAACCGATGGCTCCACAAGAGGAGAAAACATACGGATCACTTCAGCTCTGAACTGTGTTTTGTGCACAGACAACAGACCAGAAGACGTACCCCGCCGCCTCTTGTACTGCACTGAAGCAGCCTGGATATGGAACAAGGTCCGCGACCAATGGTCCCTCTTCTCATCACCCCCTACCCCCAGATCTCCTCAGAACATCCTTCTTCTATCCAACATTACTAACAATATCGAAGGTGGCAAGGAAATCTGGTTTCACCTTCTCAGGAAGCTGGCTCTGTGGCCGATCTGGGAAAGGTGGTGTACCAAGACTATCGAGAGAACTGAGGTGGCAAGGGAAGAAATGTGGGCCCTACTGTTGGGTATGACGGAAACTGAGATTCGATGCAGATGGAGGGAGGCAACATCAACAACGAAAGTCAGACCAGAAAGGCTAGCTAGCAAGAGACATTCTTTCATGAGAGACTGGCTTCTACAAGGAAAGATTGCAACAGTGGCAGATAACAGATTGATCTGGAAGAAATGGCACAGCAAAACTCCAGCAAGGACGACGACCCAGCGATGGGAAAATTGAGACCATAGTCTCAGCAACATAGACAACTCTCCCCTTTTTCTTGTTGCACACGAGTTATACGACAGAATCACAACGGATACTGAGAGAAAAAGTGGTAGGGCAAGCTGACAGTCAATCCTCCTGCATAGGAGCAATCAATGCTGGTCAGGGTTCCTTCGGCCAGACGGAAGGAAGCGTGAGAGTGTTCACCATGTACTCCAATTCTCGACTCGACTTGCTGGTGGACAGGAACCGGACTGACGCTCCCCAGAATGGATACGGAGCCAGGACCATAAGGACCTGTTTAAACCACCACTACCTTTCAGAGGCAAACGCGAAGTCCATCTAGTAGCCTACTCGTCAGAGTCTGACACCTCCGGGCGGGCACGGCAGCCTTTTCTGAAAACAAAAAAAAGAAGGAAAAAGAGGGAAAAAAACTAAAGAATTTGAATCCAGCGACGTTGGGGAAGGCCCTCACGGATGTGGAAGTCATACCAGTGATTTGAGGAATGTATCTGGCCAGCTGGTGTGGAAAAATGATTGCTGATGTTTTCGTTTTTGTTTTTGTTGTTTTCCTTTCCTTGCTTGCCCTGCCAGTGAGGCAGGGTGAATTCCAAGGCAGGCAGCTAACTGCCTCACTTCCTCATACTCACACTAGGTACTGTAGTTTCCTGTATCTTACTGCAATCACCGCATAAAGAATGCTTTTTGTTTTTCTTCTTTGTTTCTTGTTCTGCGGACAGACGCCCTCACTGAGGGCGCAGTCATACTGGCACCTCGTGGAATGCATCTGAATAGCGGCGTTAGGGAAGTCCTTGTTTTTCCTCTTCTTTTTTTTCCATTTTTGTGTTCTTTCGCAGATGCAACTGCCCAGGCTCGGCAAAACTCGGTGCGCAGTAAAATTCGGGCTCGGCAAAAACAGGATCCGAGGTAGTGGTGGTTTAAMAAAARAAAAAAAAAAAAAAAAAAAAAGGCTGTAAAAACACGAACCAGCATCCCTAACACGGAGATCAGGATCACCATCAAGGAAAAATGTCATGATGTAGGATAGGGGTCAGTGCAGAACGCCTGCCCTCAGATGTGACGGCCTTGATATGTCATCTTTGTAACTGACCGGCCTCAGGTAAATTCATAGTTACATCTGCTTGCACATGGATATGAACTTGGGCTTGTTTCAACTTTCAACTGTTCACGGGTGTACCAACTGAGGTAGGCCAGTTGGCAGAAACTAGTTGATTATTACTGTATGCATGTCACAAGTGTCTTCACATCCACCCTTGTTCCCGGTCATGTTTGTGGTTGGATTTGTCATCGCATGTGCGCTGACAATTGCTTGGTTCATGGCTTGGAGGCAGTGGCCAGCCAGAGAGGAAGCACCACTTTCTTGAGACTCCAATATATTTTGTGTGTGTGGATATGCTTGCATGCGTTCTGTTCTAGCTTCTTCCTTTGGTCCCTGGATACTGTGAATAACTGAAGAAGTGGTCTTCTTTTTCTAAATTTTTAACGTATGCAGCTAGTCTGAAGAAGGTTTGCGATACGGAGCTGGGGATCGTTACCCAGTGTATTAATGCTTCCAAGGAAAAGAGGTTCAATGATCAGTACTGGGCAAATGTTGGCCTCAAGGTCAATGTGAAGGTAGGCGAGCTTGTCAGCCTCTTGTGTCTTACTATTTTCCAGTGCTGTGGGATTGTGCGGGCATCTCTTCTTGAGTTCCAGGAAAGGAAAACCTACCTTGTATTAATCTAGGGAGATACCGGTTTGGCGACCAGGTGACCGGCCGGGCATGAACCCCGGGCATGGGCCCGGGCAGCCCCAGCGCAAAAAAAAACAGAAGAAAACAAAATATCCAAAGAACTCCAAAAAAAACTGAAAAAAAAAATGTTGTGTAGAATTGCAATACAAACAACTTTTGGCTGAGGGTCACATCAGAATTCCTCGCAGAACTGAAGATAAAATAAGAAAATAACCAAATCGCGCTAAGGCACCCCCCCTTTAAACCCCTGTAGCCCCTTCAAAATTCATTTATACTCCCCTTCCCCCCTCCTTGACAGCCAACTCTCAAAAAAAGAAAAGAGCCCGGATTTGGGCTCCTCTCGGAGGGCGAGGAAAACCCCCACCGCCATTTTTTTTTTTTTTTTCTCCCATGCCCGGGTATCCTGGGGGTCATGCCCGGATGACCGGCCGGTCATGAAAATCTTCCTAGGTATTGATTGAAAAAAAGGAAGAAGCCCCTAACGTTAGTATACTCACCTAAGCCCTTCGAGATTCAAATTCATAAGCTGTCTATTAATAGTTACGTGTGTACCATTCAGCCACATGCGCTGGGTACCTCGAGCGCACATTGTTAGGAGGGTGACATTGGAAGCTCGATGTGATCCAGTGGTCGCGAAGTCAGTCAAATGTGTGCTGACGGCTCAAACAAACCCCATTTGCCACTATTGCAATCAGGCAATGATTTGTAGATTCGGTCTTCCAAGTTAAACGTCTGGGAATTGAGCTCATGCATGACCTTCCATCAGGAAGGTGGATGGATGGTTTAGATTAGGAAGGTCCGAAGCTAGGATAAAAAGTGAAGTGCCTTGTTGAGGTGGGATGAAATGCTTGTTGTACCCATTGCCGTTTTCACCTGTAGTCTTCTGGGAAGACTACGGCCACGGCTAGAGGCAAGGAAGGGTGTCATATAGCTAGAGAGGCGTGTGCTGTCGAGGGAGCTCTTGGCTCGAGGAGGGCACCTGAATTTCCTCCAGTTCGCGACTCTATCATGGCATACTCACACCAGGACTTTTTTGACTCAGCTCTGGACGAGGTTGCAGTCAGATGCATCCAGCTCCAAATGTAATTGTGTGTCAGTTATATTTAGAGAAGTGCTAGTGTGAATGTGCCCTCACACCAATGGCTATCTGCCGCTTGTGCTTGTGGAATGGTTTATTGAGCTTGACTGGAAGATGTGGTTGGGCATGGGGGATGATCAACTCCTTTGGTTGTTAGCTGGGGGGTATCAACACTCTGCTGGAGCAGGAAAAGAGATCTGCAATACCCAAGTTTTCTGACAAGCCAACGATCGTCATTGGAATGGACGTTTCGCACGGATCGGCTATGGAGCGGGATAACTTTTCTATTGCAGCTGTAAGTTCACCTTCCCCTATCATCCACATGGTCGCCGTCTGCATCATTTTGCAATCTTATGCTATGCTGGGCAGTTCCCTGAACGGGGTGGGCAAGGGGGAACTTGCCTGGGAACAGCGGGCAGGTAAAAAGAGAGGCTGACTTCAGGCCAGGGCTCACTTGGCCTGAGCAGTCACGATCTGACCTTACCTTCCAACTTGGTGATGGATCACCCAGGGGGGGGGCTGGGGGGTAATGAACATTATTAAAGGGGCTTAAAGAGGTATATGGTAACATGCCTTTTCTGTTTTAGAATTTTATTTTGATCCAAGTACAAAGGAATTTCAAGGAGACCCGCCAAATATTTGGACCTTTTGCAAAGATTGTATGATCTTTTTTTTTTTTTTGAAAGCAAGGCTCCCATCTATTCGTGCGGAGCAGCTGGAAACCGGGTCCAGCATCCCTTCTCTCACGTAAACCAAGGCCCAGGCCCGGTTCTGGATGGTACCACTGGGGGCCACCAGTGGGACCATCCCTCACCCAAAAGCCTGCCCCTGCCAGAAACCGGGTCCAGCTTCCCATTATGCACATCCGATGATACGTGTTGGAAACCGGGTCCAGCCTCCCTTCTACACTGCCTGCCATTAGTAACCTGCTGCTGGCAACCGGGTCCAGCATCCCTTGTGTACATCAGATGAATATAGATATAAGTGAGGGTGTCATTGCGCTCTGTCAGCAGTGATCGGTGACTGGGGTGCCTAGGATGCTGCTTGCTCGACGTCCACGAGTGATAGCGGGTGGAGGGGCAAGGGATCCGGAATGTCCGTTGCAGGGCTCAGGGGGATGCTAGGGTTGACCACAAACCAGTCCCGGAAGGACAACGTGTAGTCCCTAATGTTCCCCCCTGCCCCCCCTTCCTCCCCCTGGGGATCATCCCCCAACCAAGTCACGCCTGCTATCCACCCCCCCCTTTCTACCCACCAACCATTCTTCAGGAAATCTTGTAATGATTCTGACAGTGTCTTGCTTGGTATACACAAAGCTCATTTTCTGTCTGTCTGCCAGCCAATGGTTGGCGATCTCTTCGTGTACTACATCGGATGCGCCCCCCTCCACCCGTGCCTTTCGTCTCCAAAATGCATCTTTGCCATCATCTCCAAAATGCATCTTTGCCACCATATTACCCAGAGGACAAATCGTTTGCCCACCTGGAACAGATTCTCCTTCAGGGGATCATCTGAGCATTGCGGCCCGTGGCCAGTGAACTGCGCTCGCCAGTCCCATGGCCACCCAGGGCTAGGGACTGTCTGCCGCCATATCCTGTCCCACCATTGCCACAACAGTATGGACGAGGGGCACTGTAGAAAGAGGTGCTCTATTGCGTCAATCCTCTTTAGCTCAAGTCCATGTTGAGGTGGCGCTGCCATCTGTCACAGACCGTGTCACACAGCTCCCTTTTGGGTCTCAGCATACGGTATACAGTTTTGGCCTTTGCATCGACGAGGCCCAACGACTGTTGTGCGGTCCTTGCCCCCCTCCTCCCCCGGTTCCACTACCATTCCCCAGGGTCGATGGGCAGGTCCGCAAATGGCGTCATTGGCCGGAAGGCTCTCCATTCCCTCCAAACCTGCATGACCCTGATGCAGTACACCTCAGTGCTGCCAAAGGCTGTCTGCTCCCTATCAGGCTATTTTCCTTTTCCAAGGTATACCTTTCAACCAGCACCTCATTGCGGACCACCAAGTGCACCAACCCAACCAAGCCTGGGTCTCTGGGGAGCCCAACCCAGTCCCCTTTCTTCAGCATTGGTCCCTTCATCAGAATGGAATACCATGCCAGGGGGAAACTTTCAATCAATTCCCCCAAGGCCTCTCCCGTGTGGTGGCACTACCATAACCATGGCCTCATTCTTTCTACACTCTTCTCACCGATTGGGGGGCGGCCTGTCTGGGATTGGCAGTTTCCCATGCCACCCTGCTGATTGCTTGAGGAGGCGCACCCAGAACTCCTCAGCGGGCCCCTGGGTATTCTCGAATACCCGTCCTCTAAGCACATCGGGGGGTCTATTTCCAGGAGACCCTCAGGGCCAAGGGCCGCGAGCTGCGCTAGGGCTAGAGTACGTGAGGGGGGGACTGGGTTGAAAATCAGTCTTTATCCAGCACAGGCTGAGAGCCTGGACCTGCGTGGATGGATCGATGATACCCAGCCCCCACTTGGCCTGGGGCTGAATTACTGAATCCCATCCCACCCTGCCGATTGCACGGGGGAACTCGCTGTCCCCCCTCCAGAGGAAGGCTGCTATTTGCCGTAGGAAATATATTTTGTTGTATAGTTAAATGGAATGTAGACAGTTTTTACTTTTATGGGTTCACTTGTTCGATTCCTTTTTTGGGTTTGAGAGCTGTTGCACAGATTCGCAAGTCAATCACCCTCAGCCTCGCACACACATGTAATGGGCATCCAGCTGAGTGTTCACACTTGGAACCGATAGCCGAGACAAGAATCACACCAGAGATTGATTCACAAAATATCCTTATTATACAAAGAAAGTGTTTGTCTCCTCCGATCTCTGCCGCTCACACAGTCTCAGACTCGAACCTCTCAGACTCCAAACTGACTACCACTTCCTCTCTCTTCTCTCTCTCTCTCTCTCTCTCTCTCTCTCTCTCTCTCTCTCTCTCTCTCTCTCTCTCTCTCTGTGTGTGTGTCTGTCTCTGCTCTTGTATGCTCAACCTCACAGTCTCTCTCTCTCCCTATCTCTCCCGCCTTGGACCATGCCCTGGATACACCCGTTCAGTTCAGACACAGACCTTGGCAGCTATGGCCACCCTGCTCCCCTACCACTATCCTAACTTTGGTTGTCTTGGACACTGCCTTCTCCTTCGAACGTCGTCTTGCCCAAGTCGCTTCGTCAAACATACAGCAGCAGCGCTTCCGCAACTTCATGAATGAACAACTGATGAGCCGGTGCGCTGCAGCAGCTAAATATAGGACTGGTCGTGGCTTAGCCTGCTTCAGAACGGTGCCAGTCAGCCGTGGCCTGTATGCTGTGATCATTTTGTCGGTCTGGAAGTTTCCTGGACTTTCCTGGGACATGCTGCAATTTTCGTGGACTTGGGAATTTCTGTCGGGTACAGGTGCGGCTGCACATCCACTTATGCACGTACTGGCCTATGGGACCTACTGACTGAACCCACAGATGTGAGCGGTGCTGGGCCCGGTTCCCAGCGAGCAATGATTTGTTTTTTCAGAAGAAAAAAAAAAGCTGTGCGTATTGCAACATTTTTTTTTCGGTTTTTTTTTT